TCTATGCGGACAGGGTCGCAGCAACAGAATTGTGAATCTGCTCGATCAGCAGGTGCGACTGCGCAAATTTCGCACCCTCATTCAGCTAGTCATCCTTACGGCTTGGGGGCACTGTAAGCTAGAGTTGGTTATCAATAATGGCCTACGCTTAATTATGACTGACCTAGCCGGTTGGACTGCACAATAAACGAGAACGTTGCCAAGTATGATGCAGATTTTGGCAATGCTTTCGTTCGAAGTTCGTGAGGACCTCCTGGTCCGTCAATTATCCTGGATAATCCCGAAGAGACGGCACACGTTCAAGAAATCCGCATCTGGCTTTCGGTGCTTGGGATATTTCGGAATTATATCTTCTGGTTATTCAGAGCATTTTTGTCTGCTTTGATGCGGTTCCGCCAAAGATTTTATCGTTTATCAATCTCTGCTCTATCTTACAGACCCTATGTGAAGCGCTGTGTGGAAACCCCCTTCCAAGTGGACGTTCATTCACGATGAACCTGCGGATGAAGTGCAGTAGCGCAAGTATTTCCTCGGCTCAGGTTGCACGATGATGGAAGATGGTTACTTTGCTTGCATTTGCTTTCATTGAATCTCCTCTTTGAGCCACTTCTGTTTCAACCGTCCTCCTTTAGTTTTTGTGGATATTGAGAAGGAAAGATTCTTAATGCATGACAAACTGTATGACGCTGGACCCCGTAACAAAATCAACTGGGCGCGCCCCTAACCTTCACGTTATGTTGGGATACGGATGATATCCCAATCACTGGGTAAAACTGCTATCTGAGGGTACGCGCAGTGTGGTTCCCGCTTATCCTCCTGCGCTTCGTTTTCTTGTTCACTACGTATTCCTGTTAACCTGTTTGGTGAAAACCTGCATTTAAACGTTGGGGCAACGGTTCTGATACCTAAGAGGGTTGGTGATGCATTCACTTCGATCATGATTATTCTTGCTGCTAATGAACCGGATGAACTAACACTCTGACCTGAGGCACTTACACTCACTTCTGACGGAACAGACGGCATATCAATCAATCAATCCACTATGCTATCAGCTTTTAGCAGTAGGACCAGGACTATGTGTTGGGAGCAATCGCTGATGGTGGAAATAACCAGAGAGCCGAAATTCCCTCTGTATACTGGAGATGAAGATTGTCATGGCAGCTCTCTACCTACCGTGGAACGGTGCAGTCTTATAAATAGAACTATGATTATCGGTGAAAATTTGGAAAATGGCTTTGTGCGGGAAAAGCACCTCAAAAATATTAAAAGCAAGCGAGTTTAGCTTCAGCTGATTTCGGAAAACTCGAAACAGAAATTGGGATGTAAGCCACCTCAAAAAGAAAACAGGGTACCCATTTAAAGACCTATGTAACCATGGGGTTTGAGCCCCAGATCGTTATAAATTAGTTATGACGGATGCCGATTTGTAGACTGCAAACGGTCCGGTCGGGCGCTCCTGAGTTCAGTACGCAGTGTAAGCGACTGATTCGCTTGGGGCTCGATTGACTCGTAAAAACTCTCGGGTCCAGCTAAGAAATGGAGCCGAAACTTCAACTACGGTACTATTAAGCACAATAGCACTCAAATACGTATTCACATATCTCCACAGTGCCCGTTCAGTTCTGAAAAAGCCGGGTTTTCGTACATTTACACAAAGAAATAGCGTCAGCGCACTTGCTACCGTACCTCAAGGACAAACAGCAGAGATTCAAGGAAAGGAATACGAAATGTAATCCATCGGTCTGCGTTACGGCGCACAGGAAGATATAAGATGTGATTACATTCAAATGGAATGACAGTAACGCGTCTCGGTATGGATATGGGACCAAGGGTCTGGGTGCCCTTGGGGTTAGTAGCACAGGGGGGATTGCACAATAGTCTCAGCAGGTATGTGATGAGAGCAAATCCATGCCGAGTGGTGGGACACCTAGTCAGGCTACACAGTATAGGCGCAATCGTGTCTCGAAGCCGGGTTGTAAGGAAACCACGTAGACATGGTTAAGAAAACAATGAATCGCACGACAGCCCGTAGGAGCAGCTGTCAGATAAGATAATCCGAGGGAACAAGTCTCGATATCATGATGTGATTTGCAAAGAAAACATGGAGCTTTACATAGTTAGTCTCATGGGTAGACAAATAATGGGTTGTACGGGATTACGGCAGTAGGCGCAGATGGTGTGCTTATCTGACTATGAAATTGACTTGTTTTTCCTCCTAATGGTTTTCCTGATAATTCTTCTGCCTACACGCAATCTGTCGTTGTGTCCCCAGTTGCCCGCTCATGCACTCGGCGCGGTATTGAGTTAAATCAGACGGATAGTGTCTGGAGACTCGCTTTTTAGGCGGAAATGTGGAATGGATATACTCCCCAACTTGAGGTATACTGGGTACCATTTGTTAGCCGAGGATAATGCGGTTCCTAAGCTGTAATCTTGTGAGTGTGCTTGTGCTCTGTGTAGTTGACGAGCAGCTATGAGTTCAATTTTATGTCACGCAGATCACTGACGTACTGATAGGCCAGTTCCATTGGTCTGGATTATTCATCCTTAAGATATCACGCCTTGGACTACTGCATCTATTCATGATTCTAATGTGCTAGTTGTGGGTGCAAACATTCGGACCGACGAAACCTGCATCACTGCTAAACACTGCAACAGCTGATGCTCTCACACCGACAATCATCAGAAGACACCAATAATTGGAGTTCTTCAACACAGTTGCCTACTGGTGACTAATCGTAGAGAATGACAGCGTTTGATAGATTGCATCCCAGCCTTTCCTACTATGTGCATCACTGCAACGCAGTCAGCAAAGCAAAACCCTTCCATCTATTTGTCTAAATAGATGAATGATACTCCGAGCATCTTACTAGTTTTTCAATAAATAGAAACCTGCTAACTAGAGATAGCCTTAGCTAAGTGTGGAATCCGGTGCTTAATAGTTAATAGTGTACGTTCACGAAGTCATTGAGCTCAGTGCGGAGTGATTTTTGCTATGTGTCTGGTCCCAATCAAGTTCTCGTTCTCTAAAGGGCCTAAGTAAGAATGGATCCAGTTGTGGAGGAAAGTGATAGAAGATAGGAACGCCGAAACTCTCCAATTTGATGACTAGTTGCAGCCTATCGTCGGTTAAAAATTCAGTTGAAACGCGAAAAAGAAATCAATGAGGGATTCATAACACCACATTTTTGCTTGGACTCTGTGGATAGAGATGGAATATGTTGGGAGCAGAATTCAACACATAGTACTTTACAGCTAACACCTTGGTTACAAGGCCAATCAGTTCAGTCAGTAACATTTGCTATGATGGCTAGGAGTCCATTGATGGGTTGGGAAGCAGCCACTGTACGTATAAAATAGGACTCAGAGGTCAATGCGATGGTGCTCAGAGCGTCAGCTATCAAAGATTTTGTGCCGGACTTCACTCTTAGCTCAGACGATCTCTACCTGAAGAGTGTAAAGTGGAGCAACACCGTTCGTGTGGTGCATTGATTGTGGACAACAAGACCGAAACCCACCACTTTGTATGCCGTTCCAGGGATCAAAAATACCACGGTTACTCTTAAAGGCATCAACAGTACACCGACACACTGTACCGACGCTTCGCCGCCATGTAACCAACAACACTCACACGTGCACTCAGTGTACTGCGAAGACACCTGCACTCACACGGATTCAATCCGGTGACCTGTGGAGGCAACTACGCAAACGTATCGGCCAACGGCCGCATCTCCAACTAAGATGGCGCGCTGAGCCAAGTAAACAATGCATTAGTAAGGGAAATCTGTTGGTTCCAAAGGGGTTAAATTGCACCTGACCGCTAACAATTGGTCTCCGTCCTGTCGGTGACGCGTCGTACCCCGGTGATTTTGGAACTCTGAAGGCAAACCTACACAAGGTTTCCACCGAATTAACCGAGTGAGCGCCTAGTTAGCGCAGTATTTCATATTGAACTGGAATGGTGGCGGTAATGACAGGGCTATAAACTGGAGGGTTTCTACAGTCATAACTCAAACAAGTACTTGCAATCATACAACAAAGTGTAGAATTCTTCCCCTTTATCGTGCCACGGCTCAAGACTTTCGTAATGGATGTGAATGTGGTGGCAGGGATTGTTTTACAATTACTTGTGCTTAGTTGGAGAGTTTGCTGGACATGGCTCGCAAGAGACACCAGTGGCGCGTTTGATGCCGTCTCCTGGTCGGATTGCCTGTTTAAACTGTGTTTGGTGCTGAGTTATCTGCAGGGTAATGGCTGATTATGACGCGGGGCAGTGAAAGCCGCAAGGAAGCTGTCTCGCGGATGCTGCCTTATCTCTGCACGATAGCTAGCTGTTTGTGGCGGTATGTTGTCCACACAAGGTGTAAACGCCTTGACCCTGAATGCATGCTTAGGGCATTAAGCTTTTCAGGTAAGTCCCCCTTCTCTCCCTCTTATTATTCTTCATTACTTAGGTCATCATGGTTTTATGGCAGTGAAGTATCAGTTCAACTGGATGATTTACTGCAGTTGAGGATGATGAGGACTTACATTTGCAACTTTTGCTGGTTCAGGCTATTTTGCCTAAATAATGTTCGAACGCGCCATCTTCACATATTTCTGAATGCGTGTGCCCACTGAGGAATTCTGATAACAAAGTATCCTCAGTTGCTTATCACTACACATGATGTCTGGCAATCAGATTCTGGTTTAAGGGAAAAAAACATATAGTAACGACAAATGGGACACTTCAGTACTGTAAATACAGTTGAAAAAGGAGATTTTGTAATCCCATAGGCAGTCTTAGTTTGCGCCGTACCTAACACCATATTGTTTAACTCTTTCCCTCTTGTATCTTTGGTGACAGTGTACATGGTATTTCATTGAGTGCAGAACCTTTGTGAGTCAGGAAAGTATTCATATAGGCTTAAAAAGTTGCTAAGCTACACAATGTATAGAAATAAACATCAGTGCGGTTCAGTACTGCTTGCACTGGGCTACGATAATTGACAGATAGAGACTTACCGCTCGGGTTTTGCAAATTTTGGCAGATTTGCAGATGGACTGGATGGGGTAAGTAGATCTTTAGTGGATTCGCCGGAAATAGCATACCGTTTGGCCCTTCTCTGTTGACTGAACTTATTTCCGCTCCTGTACCGTCCATCCTTGTCCACATCCGAATGTTGGCCCTCGATGCCTTGGCGATCAGAGGGTAAGTCACGATTTAGCCTGATCAGTGTCTCCGAGGGATCAAAGTTCACATCAGAATAGGGGCAGCTTTTTGCTCCGCTACTTGGTGTGCTGTGAGCTACTCCGCTATCTGAGGAAACAATGTCTGACATTATTGTGCGCTGCTCACGGATCGCGCGATCATGGGTTCGTTTCATTAGGACATTGTGATCGATATGCGTCTCGAATTTGTTCTCCATTTCGGAATGTTTTGCCATTAGATCGTTAAGCATTTGCGTTTTATCCCTGATTACCTTTTTTAACCGTCGAATACACTCATCGCGTTCATGAAGCTCCTGCTCTTTTCGTCTCAACAACGAATACAATTCAGTCGAGTGTTGGCAAATGTCCATCTCACAATGAGTTGATCCCGGAGCTGTGATGTTTCCTGAGCACAGGTCAAATTGTACATTTTTGAACCGTCCAAAGTTGCCATCTCTGGTACGTTGTGCCGTCTGCGTTGCGTTGCTGTGTTGAAAATTGACAGTGTTACTGGGGTATAGTGTGGTTGTGTTTGATAACGTGCAGGGGGCATTAGCTGATGGCGAGCCCGTAGTTAATAACTGGTTAGGACAAGCGGAATTATTCGGATTCTCAACAAATGCACTCCTCATATCAGTTGTGTTTACATTTGGCACACTTTGGGTGAAATATGGCACACTTTTGTTATTTCTTAAGTAACATCCAGGCGCTGCCTCGACATCCACGTGCATAACCTTGATGGGAGCAGATCGGCACATATTGGAAACCGCTGAGTCAGCTAATCGATCAGAGATCATGGTATTGGCCGTTTCTCCAACTTTAGGTTTCCTAAAGACACGTGCACACTTGCCGGATTGCGAGTAGTAAATGCTATCTCTTCCATCTTTAACTTCCTGGTGCTTGGTGGCGGTGTTCAGTAATGGCGGAGTACCAAAGGTGGGTGTATCTGTAGATGCAATGAATGTGGATTGTGGCTTTCTTGTGTCCCTGATAATCGCATCTGAAATCATTTCCGATACCTTACTACCCATGTTAAGCAACCGATTATCGGGATATAACGATACTTAGTATGACTGAGATGGAACCCATACTCTACGAGGTGTGATCGGGATGGTAGGTGGCGACAGTATGCGCCGAGCACCGATTGCAGAAACAATCCGAAGAGATCCCATGCCAGTGGCACTTCCTCGTGATCTACTCCGAAACAACCTTGCATATATAATCCTGTGCGTGCGTGCGTAACCAACTTCACATGCTGAAGGCATGTGCGTACGCGTATGTCGTTGTGAGAAGCATTTCTCAATGGGATATGGAAGAGCAGGTGAGTTGTTTGCTGATTGGTTACTAATAAGGTGAATAGCCAATAATAGTGGAACAAGAGTTGTAGAGGTGATCAGCGATAGTATACTGAAATAATACAAGTAGCTTTTGCAGACAAAGTCATAGTGAAGAATATAGTCTGGATCATAGTTCCATCTAACTGATTAGTGACTTAGAAATCTACATACGAACAAACAAAAGCTTAAATTTCGGAAATTACTGCCTTCGAATAATTTCTGTTGGTACAAAAATAACCTATGAACACTCCTATATTCTAGTGGTTCATCTCAAAACCCTCGATCCAACAGACAACACGCTAATAGAAAGGCAATCAGTGACGGTTTCATCATATCGAGATGTCCCAAATCTTGAATGACCGGAACTAACAATTATCATTTTGTTATAAAGAAACAAATGTTGATAGCTCAGGTTGTTCAGTTGGTGGTCTGAGTTTTCGCTGAGCTCGACAGCTGGGTTACGAGGGAGGAAATTAGGCCAATTTGTCACAGTCGGCTCAGTGAATAACACGACAATATTACCGACTGAGAAGTGGTAATTTTTCGAGGCGAAAATGGGCCATTACTAGTTGTTGGATGTGTCAAAGCGAGTCTCTAATCACTTTAAGGGGTTCATTCCAAAATCTCATTCATTTAACCACAATATCATCGACGTCATACCGAGAATATGACGCCACTGGAATTCAACTCTGTTTACCGATGTTTGAAAAATGCAAATTCCATTAAAAGTGGAACAGTGACATAGATCATGGAATGCCGTTCCTGAATCTATCATTTGAGCCTCTGCGCTGGTAGATTTCAAAGTCTGAGTAGATCGTGCGCTCCTTCCTCTGCACGAACTCACATGATTCACTGCCCATTGCCAAACATGAGTGCCAATTAGACAGTTTACAACAGGTCTGCTCAAGGAATACGCTCCATTTTTTCACCCATGCACGTGTTTTATCAAAGTGATGGAGTCGATAAACGCGGATGATCCGCCGGGATAGTTTGTAGATTTACAAATAGTTTCCACTGTACAACATGATTTCAGACGTAAATTCACTAGTTTCACCAATCTGCGTCTTGCTCGAGAATAATGGTCCAAGCCGGTTAACGAAGTAGTCCACTTGGATGCGATGTATTTAAACTTTTCTAAGACATTCAACAGGGAGAATTACTTTGTTCTCCTCCAAAAGCTTGCTGTCTATGGTATCAACATTTCCCTGCTCATCAGGTTGGAAGATTACCTACAAGACACTTACTCCGAAACCCTGTGCTCCTCCAATGGCTACCTCAAGGATCCGTCATAGGTCCTCTACTGTTTTTAGTCCACATCAATGACCACTCATCAACGATTATATCCCTGACGTTAATGTGTTGATGGTGCTAAGATATGTAGAGCAACTCGCTCAAAATCCGACTATGTATTTCTCCGAAATGATCTGGACCGGATTTACTGATAGGCAGGAATGAGCCAGCTACCACTGAGTCCCGCAAATTGTCACCTACTGACGGTGCGCGGCAGCTTCATCAACACATATCTCTTATAGCAACATGTTCTGTGATAAGTTACCAGTGAAAGAGACTTATGTAGCATCGTAGAAGAAAGTCCTGTTGGTTCGATTCAGTGTTCGGAAGCAGAAAATGTGGTAAACTTGAAATTTAGTCTTTTGAGGCGAAACATGGGTACCTTTAGTCGAAGGCTAGTGTCATTGCTGATTAACTCGTACATTCGTCCCCACGTTGAATACGCCGTTTAAGCCTAGCGTCCATGGCTAAAAGCAAACACCCGTCATTTGGAGCATTCTAACACAGAGCCACAAACGCAACACGTGGAATATCTGGTCTTAGCTACGAACTGTGTCTTCGTTTACTGGATCTGTTCTCTTCAGAATACCGATGGCTTCGTGGAGATCGCATTCTAATCTCCCGCTTGTTAAATGTGTGCGATCACCCATGTAAATCACTGCTGACCATAGCCCCTAACAAATGGTGCAGAGGCCACTACTTGAAACTAGTATCACCTTGATGGTTAAAAGTTCTTTTCCTCTGTTTGAACCTGTTCCCACTGGAATGCACTGCAAACACATATGGTAAACTTACCAAACATCGCGACATTCGAGAGATTGCGAGACTTTCATCTTAGATCTAAACGCTGCACAATAATACGATAAATTGCCATTTTGTTACTACTAATGATTCACTATCCAGATATGAACAGCTGGATTTTAAGTTCATTTTGTGTTTTCCATCCTATGGGCCTTGTAAAGTTATGTTTTTTATCACATCGTATAATATTGAACCAGTGAACTAGATGACACAGTTTATACACGTATCCCAATTGATATCACCCCTTATGGATTTGCAGTTTTTAATGCATATACCTCGGTGTGTCCAGCGATGTGAACTTACCTTTTGCTAGAACCTATCTATAGTTACTATTTTATTCATAGTGTGCTAAGCAGTTCGGCTTGCGTATCGATTTTACGCGAACAGTTGTGGAATTACTTGAATTTCTGACTGGTCGTAGACGTGATGAATTCCAACCGATACCATTCATAAAAATCTGTCCACTGCTTCGTGGTACCTCAACTGGTCCACGCAAATGACGCGTTGCTAACATCTTATAAATCGCGCGGTGGTCCGGCAATGTTTACACTTCTGAATACTTGTTATTCGTATGGCTTCCAAATGGTTCTCGCCGCGATCCGTAGTAGAGTTCCTCTGTGCAGTTGGTGACGCCGGGTACGATTTCCATCGTATTCTTCTTGAATTGCGCATCCCGATTAGATCATAGCTTATAGCTTTTGTTTGGTATTTCCTGTGTTAATTGTGTAATATTCTTTCATAACGTCTCATCTTGACGTTAAGCTTCGCGACCCCGCTTTTAATTCTGTTACGATTCCCATCAAGCTATTTAAAGCAGTGACTTACATTTTGGCTTATACCGTTAGATTCTGAGTTCGCTGGCGTTAGGATCACCTCCGGTTCATCGTTGTGTAGTCAGCTACACGCTTACCTGCCCATTAATGTAACTTTGTAACTCAGGAATCGCTTACTGCATCAGCAGTACGACACTCAAGCAGGCCTTCATAAACAGAATCACGCCCACTGAATAGACACGTATATAGCAGCTGTTACAATGCCTACAACTACATGAAAATAGGCGCTCTACATAGTTAAACGAAATGCGTCAGATGCTTGATACATCCTCCTTGGAGTGATCACTGCTGCGAGAATTCTGATTACATCAGTTATGAAAAACAGTGCAAGGTGTGCGTAGCGTGATCCAACTACAATCGCCTAGTGATGCAGCTCAGGTAGCCGGCGCAGTAGTAGATCGGTTTTACCCTCAGCTCAATTGCATCGCTCCCCCTTGGCACAAATACTATGTATTCATAAGGCTGTACCGCATTCCTGCACCGCAGATTGCGCGCCATCTGCCGCAGCATCACAAGAGTAACCAACTGTGTTAGCGGAGGTAGCAGCTCTAGGCCGCAACTTTAGTAACAAACATTATAATACTAACGCAGGCCTCTGACGTAGCAAATCACCTAGCAGAAACCGAGTTGCAGAGAGTAATCAGTACTACCGGCACCATAGACCCTTCGGTGCACAGACCACATGTCGTACCACACCCTGCATTTTTCACTCTACTCAGCAAGGAAACGTTCGGGCCGAGAGATAAAGGTGACTAAAGTCACTGGCCCATCCGAAAGCAGTCGCCTACTCTTTGTTTAGGACTGCAAAGATAGAACCGCTTTCCAGTTTGACACCTGGACTGAAGTACGCGCGGTTTCTCTCGTACCTTGGGGAACAATTCAGCCGGCCACCCCCAGCCTTCATGCAGCCAAAGGCACACTCATCCCTACTTATCGTCAATGCTCCTTAAACATCAACGTAGATTTACGTAGAACATCTCTTTGGGTGTTTATTCTTGCTACCTTTCCTTCTGCCCTCCTCGGTATAGATTTCCTTTGACATTTCGACCACTTGGCCGATGCGAAACGAAGGAGCATAGTCGACCCCGCAACGACGGTCAGCGCTACTGACACAAATGCCGTTATCTCAGCTATCACTCAAGTCTAGATTGTCCCATAGACATCTCTTGACCCGAATTAGTTGGATTATTTGGGAGCATTTGTGGCGTTACATGAAAAGTAGGTTACATGGTTTCCTGGGACTTGTTTTGACAATATTGCTTTAATGATACCAGACGTCATGGGGTTGCAGCTGTTAGCACAACAGATTAATGACTTATTTGAGTTTCAATATGTATACATGAAAGCTAGAAAAGGGTATGGGCAGAGAAGAAGCGATTAACGAAGTTATATCATCGTTGTTAAATCAAATGGTTTATTATGTCTCACATGAGGATTGTAAGTGAAATCAGTTTCTCGGTTTGAAAGCTAGTACGTGCAAGAGAAAGGCAAATAACTTTACATTTTCCCTCAACATCTCAACTGCATCTCGTGCTACAGAAAACTAAAAACTCACTTCATCTCGGTGATCACACTGTATCTTCATTCTGGCGGGCCTTTAAATTCAGCCGTTGCTGTTTTGATTGCAATATTATTCTACGCTACACACTGCGGATACTTTTCCCACCTGTTTCTACACCATAGTTTCTATCTGGTTAAGTGAATCAACCTGTTGTAATGCTGCTGCTTCTCCTCTCTTTGCTCTCTGCCACTGAAAACTGTTGTACTGCT